TGAGGATGAGATTGACTTTAATGAATTTGAAGTTCATGACGTGGAGAGTGTGGCTAAAATGGTTGCTCTGAGGGAATCTATGGCAGATGCTATTTATGGAAGCTAATCCAGCAAGTATTTCTTTCCTTCGTACATATGTAGATCAATTTTTATGTGTATTTTTTTTTTTTGGAATAAGTTCTGACATTCATTTTTTTTTATTTTTCTCGCAGTTATACAAACATGACTTCTAGGATATCAGTTACAGACAAAGTTATTTTGTGTTATTGTGGACTACCAGATCCATTGCTTACGTCGCGTCAGTCTTATAGCTTTGGGAGGCAGTTCTATGATTGTGTCAAGGGTATTTCAGCTCGTTGCGGTTTCTTATTTCAACTCGTTGCGGTTTCTTCCGGTCGGCTGACAGTTCCACATATTACACTGCCAGCGGTGATGGAAATCCGATGTTTTCTCAGGTTGATAGTACAGCTGAGGACAAACGTAGCCAGAGTTTGAAATTAAATATTTTAATATTTCTCATTGTAGTTGTACTTATCTTTATCCTTTTTTTATTTCTTCTGGTACTCACAAGAGTGTGAAAACTGTATGTCATCTTTTGGAACTGTCTGTGATAATTGTATGTTTCTGCACTATATGTTTCTCTACTACCAATAAACTATTCTGAATAAGCTGCTCCAAACAGTTTTACCAGACGGGCAGGAATGTCATTTATACAACCATAACTATCAATAAGCTATTCTGAATAAGTTGCCATAAACAGCAAACCAGATTATTCTGATAATCTGCAGATTATCAGATTATCAGAATAATCTGCTTATCAGCAGATTATAAATAATCAACAGCTGACAAACAAACCCTTATTCTTTTATCATTTATTATGGTGTAGTATAAATATGACTAATATGTTTAAGCTTAGGGTTATGTATGAGATTATTATTGTGAGTCTTAGGTTTAGTTTGAGAGAGATTTCCTACGTCTCAAATTGTAGGAATTGGGAGAGATAGCCTACTTCTCGAGTTGTAGGCGCTTATCTTTGTGTTTGAGTTGACTGTTGATGTTATTACAATTAGTTAGATGTGTTTGTCCTAATTTTTACGGAGAATCCTATCAAATTGATTTCAAAGTAAGTTTTCTGAAAAACAACTAATAGAAGAAGCAACTGACAATATCTCAATGTAGTACAGGGTGTGGGATCTTCATACATTGCAGTGCAAGATGCGAGATCTTCATACAGTCGCGTTTAAAGATTGTGAATGGATCGATGGAATCGCAGCTTACAGAGACCCGAAACTCCTTTCTTTGTGGAGAAAGTGTCGAAGAGATTGGGGTACTTGATTTGGCAGAGAAGGCAACGACGGGATAACGACTTACAGAGACCCGAAACTCCCTTATTCGTGGAGAAGTTAATGATGGTGTTGCGGCATACAGAGATCCGAAACTCGCTTTTTTTGCGGAGAAGACATTAAGGGGATCGCGGCTTATAGAGGCCCATAAATTCCTTCTTTGTCCTCCTGCTCTGTCATCGCCATCCAATCGTGATTGGAGCTAGCTACGAAACAACAAAGACATCAAGACATACAAGGCAAAAGATCAGGATCACGTACAAATGCAGAGTCACAATTTGTTCTTGGCTGGGAAGCCAACGACGGGATCGCGGGTTACAAATGTGAGCAAGGAGGTGAACAGTCACAACGTATAGAAGTTCCATGTCGTTCATGATCGAAAATAGTGATCGTGATCGCGAAGTAAAGGAGTTTCGCATTGCTTGCGCGATTGGGATTTAGCATGGATTGGAATTCTAATTGAGAGAGGTCAGCAACAGGATCATGGTGTCTAGAGTCTTATGCCGAATTCACGTAAAATAAATTTAAAGCCTTACAATATCGGTGTAAAAGAGTTCCAAAGTCATATAAGGAGTAATGACAACCAAGAAAGTAGATGACTTGGGAAAAAATTGGAGAAAGTGATTAGTGAAATTAGATCTAAATGAAGCATTTTTCGGCTATCGAGGGGAGATTCACGTCCTTTGAAGAAATCACGGAGGGTAGATTCACATGGTTTACAACTTTATTGTTTTGTGGTTAGAAGACTTGTTATGTCTTCGGACCTTCTTATGATGACTATAAATAAATTGGAGCAAAAGAATCTTCACGACCTTTGTTTGTTCTACATAATCAAGCTTTAAAAAATTAGCTTTAAATATAGAGTTAATGCTGAACAAATATTCCTTCATTGCATTTTTGAACGATGGGAATAAACAAAATAAGGAAATGAATGGATTTTTAGGGTATCAATTTAGTAATGACCTTATGTATAGACAAACTGTGAGGGAAACTGTAGAGCTCGAAATTTAACTTGTGGAAATAGGTGGGAATCGTCATTCAGGGATGCTATGTTTTCTTGAGCAGCATTAGAAAGAAGAAAATGATATGTGAATCTGTCTCGGAGATGGAGATTTCATGTATGAAAGTGCCGGTGATGATTTCTCTTTTCCGTATTCTACTTTTTGATCATTTGTGATGATAGATAACTTTGGGTTATTTTTTTTCAAGTTAAACTTTGCTTTTATAGTGGCTTGGATATGACGTCTGTTCTTTAAGTTTGATATGCTTTGTTGTGTTGCAGCTCCCATATTTTATTTTAAGCTTTTTTTTTAATATATATTTTTGTTCTATGAATCAACTTGTAAAAAAATTTGCAGGTTGAGTCTTTAGATGGACTTCAGAATATATATGTACTACAACTTAATAAAGAAAATTATTCCTCACTTTTTTTGTATTGATGTTAGATTTTCAATTGGTTCTGAGCTAATTTATTAAGCATAAACATATGTTTTGAAGTATTCATGTTTATTATTGATATTGTGTTATTTTATTTGTTGAAAGAAAATTGAGTTGATACCTTAAAGAAGCAAACAAATTGAACTGAGTAGAATTTTGGCAGCTGGCCGAAGTATTTTTGGCTTGGCTATTTATGATGATAAAAATTTTATTTGTAGAACATTTATACTTGATGTGGCTCATATTTAATCAGCAAAGTGTCTATTTTAAACATTAAATATATGTGTAGATGAAATATGTATCTTGAGAGCTTTATTTTTAAAAGTATCAGCACACTTCACTCTTTGTTCTTTGCAGCAGACTAATGTCATTACATGGTATATTGGCTTTGAGCTCTGTAAACAAGGTTAGAAGTTGTGTTTTCAAATTGCAAAGCACAATGTGATGTGCAAGGATTCATTTTTTTGCTTTAGGGGCTGTTTGGTTTGAAGTGAAATAACTGTAAAGTAAAATAAATACAGGAGATTTAATTTTTTGCTGTTTGATAATAAACAACAGTAAATTAAAATTAAAGTCCCACCGAATTATAAAATCTGAGAATAGGCTACAATATTTGTATTTAAAACTCGACGAAAATCATGCTTTCGTCTCCCTCACCTTTGCGCGTGATTTCCAGTGAAAGCCTATCACGTTTCATACTTTTTTTGGCCATTGCTGCCTCGCTTGTGCTTCAGCTATCCTTGGATGATCATGCTCCATTCGTTCTCTGCATCGCACTTCCGTAACTTAAATTCTTGCCTCAAGAAACTCTCTTTTACCTTTTTTTTCTCAACTTATTGTTTCTTATCTCCATAAGTTTCTGTAAGTTTCTTGCCTCAATAAATTCACCACTGGAACGACAGAAGCCATGGGGCACCATCTTCATTGTGATGCTTCGTCTTTGTCATGGTGGATCCTAGGATTTGACTGTAAATAGAAGCGGCAGTGGTGGAAGTGGTTCGGGGGATGTTTTACTTCAGTTGTGCAGCTCAAGCGGGTGGTTGACTCCAATCAAGATGAAGTTCGGACTTGAATCGGAAGTATCATGCTCAAGATGTTTCTTGCTTTCATAGATAGTCTTCTGGACGAGTATGAAGCTTGAATGCGGTTTTATTTTTGTTGAAATAGGATGCCGGAGTCATCAGCTCTTACTTTTTATGTGATATAAAAGGTGTGGGTGTTATAAATGTAAAAAGTAAAGATTAAGCGTTTGATTTGTAAATACATAGGAATTTAGTGTTATGTATGTAAACCTTTGTTTTGGAAGATTTATATGCATCTCACTCAATTATTAATGTATGTATCTAATACCTTAACATAGGAATTAGCTGTCATGTATACATATATATACATTTTTGGAGACTTATATAGGGGCCCCTGAACCTTTGGCACACTCCAAACTTAGGCATAAACATTTGGTATCGCTTGAATTGTTATTGTGATTGTCGGTCCCATGAAGTGCTAGTTGTACCAATTGCAAACAAAATACGAATTTATCTGGGCTTGACTGGATTTGTATTTGATTAACTTTGATATCATTGGGCTCATCTACTTTATAAACAACTAAAGAAGTTCAATTATTTTAACTACAATATTTTTTATTTTACTTTACGTGTATATAACAAAACAGGAAAATTAAGTTCACTGTATTTAGTTTGCAGACAACTAAATTGCCAACTATAAACTGAATTGACTCTCACCATTAAATTAGATTTGAATATATCACACCGTAGAGTGCTTCACTCAAGTGCTTCAGTGCTTGATTAGGTGAACCAAGTGCTTTGCAGACTTGCTGCATTTGAGGAAGCTGCGATGCATGGAACTTTCGGTTTGTGCTGCTTGGCTTTTGAAGTATGCTTTCAACATACTTTATCAGAGCTCGTTTATAGTCAACGTGCTGTGTGGTTTTTTTTTTTTTACATAATACATAATAAAATGATTTGTTTTTTCATGTTTCATTGCTGGCATTGATTTTGTTGAGTATTTATTTGGGTGATGTGTATGCTACACTTCCTGCTAATTGCATGATAATTTTTTTGCGGTGCAAAATGGAGCAATTCCTTCATTGCTCTTTTTTATTTCCAGTTAGTAGCTAAACCATACTTACAAGTGGTATTTGAAGAAATGTATGATCCTCCTAGTATAGCTGAAAGCGAGTTTAAAAAAGTCTCATTTTTGAAGGAAGTAGGTGAACGTGAAGGCAAGCACTATGCCATTAATGTCCCACTTAAGGATGGAATTGACGATGCTAGTTTTACAAGACTTTTTAATACGGTAAAGCATTGTTTAATTAATTTAGTTTATCGTCTTTTACGAGTTTGCTATTATTTGTAACTGGTGATAAAAATTTCCTCACAGTATTTCAGTTATGTAGATCATTGCCAAGGTTGTTGAAACATATCGACCAGGTGTTATTATTCTCCAATGTGGTGCAGACTCTCTGGCTGGAGATCGCTTGGGCTGCTTCAACCTTTCCATTGAAGGTCTTCTCTTTCTTCTGTGTTGTCTGGTGCCCAAAACATTTTTCTCTCTCCAGATGCTGCTTATGTCCAATGCAATAGTTATGTAAACATGTTAGTAAACAAATCTCATCATATAACCCGTTGTTTATACGCAAAAAATTTGACAAAAAAAGTATTGTGAATGATTTATAGTTGATCTGTAACTCTAAAGGTTTTGAATCTTTATCGATTAAAAAAATTTTCTTAGTCTCAAAATTGTACTTTTTTATTGATTTGGTCTATATGTGTTTTTTTGGTACCATATTATTTGCAGGTCATGCTGAGTGTGTGAGATTTGTGAAGAAATTTAATTTGCCTTTGTTGGTGAGTCTTGGTACGTAAATGTAAATTGTTAGTTTTCTGAAATTCTAATGGCCAATGAATGTGTTTTATTTTGACAAAGGTGACTGGTGGTGGGGGTTATACAAAAGAAAACGTTGCCCGCTGCTGGACCGTTGAAACTAGTGTTCTTTTAGATACTGAACTTCCAAAAGGTTTGCTGCATTTTCCATCTTTCATATTTTTAACGGAAATTTACATACCTAGCTAGCACATTATACTTTTGTATTTACATATCTCACACCTAAATTTCCATATTTACATACATAGCAATTTGGTGCTTTATATCTATTCCTGAAAATGTGTATTTCACTTTTAAAAAAAATGTAATAGTGCTATTTTTTATGTGATATTAAAGATTTGAGTGCTCGAAATGTGAAAGTTTAGGTATGAGGTACACAAAAACATAAGAATTGTGTGTCATATTTGTAAATACATTGTGACGATCTTCTTTTATGTATATACTGATAAGGAACCTAATATATCCTAATCATCTTTGAATTTGCACTGCCGTCCACCATGCTCTGTTAGGTGTGCTCTGGCAATTAAATGAATTAGGAAGAACTTTTGACTTGCGGGTAAAAGGGATTATTTTTAGATATTTTGTTTGGTTTGTAGTGCATTAAGTTAACCAAACACAAATAATAGGAAAAAGGTTAATGATTATATTTATGATATGATGTAATAGTTTTTGGATGTGATGATCCTCAATAATAGATGGATCTTCTTTCAGCTTTTTTGGGTAAATTCACCTAAAAATAGGTTCAGTCAAGTTTTTATACCTGTTTTTTCTATTTCACTTCTGTTTCATTTTCAACCGGTTTGATACTATTTTGACTTGTGCTGCAATTGTATATTATAACTTTTTTTCAGTTATATGCACCATAGGTTTTAACAATGATATCTGCTAGGTAAGGAATGCACCTTTTATGTAGGTTAATAAATGTGCAGCACGTGATAACCTTGTTTTTATTAATTGCTCTTTTGGAAGTCATTGAGCCAAGCTAAGCTAATTAGTATTTTTTTAGAAAGTCTGTTACTCCTTGGTGGGGTTTAGGCAGGATCTCTACCTATGGAAAACCTCATTCAAGCAAAAGCGTGCTGAAAGCCCGACCTCCAAGTGCACGGAGCCCAAGAAAAAGTACAGTGAAGTAAAAGATAAATGGGAGGGACTACCTCCTGATCAAAATAACCAAACTCAGCCTGCACAATTGGAACTCTAAGAATATCTTGATTAAAGCAAATGATCTTGACCGTCAAGTCTGAGGGGAAGGACCTGACTCACAATATTACGTCCCTTTAATCACCAAGATATCTTACCAGTACTACTTTCATGATATATCTAGTGATATTTGCATGTTAGGTCCATCAAGAATTTGTACCTGATAAAGAATTTCCAAGTCAATTTAAACTATGTGATAAGGTGGCAAATCGATATTACATTTAGAAAAAGAAAACACAGCTACGTAACAAAATAAGTTGATTTAATACCCAAGTAGTCAAAGAATGCAAAAGAAATAGAAAGAAAAAAAAAGGCCATCCTGGTCACTTTTTGAGTCAGCCCTGGAAGCCGCAAACGGTTTGCCTTTAGAACATCGAACCACATTAAGTTTGTAAGTATCTTGGACAAGTTTTGGACCATTTAATCAGTTCAGCCTGCGGAATAGAATTTGAATTCGGAGAGCAGAGAAAGTTGAAGTAAAAGGTGTCATCTTAAGAGTGATTCAAAGGAATTTGGCATCCTACAAATTTTCATTTAGCTTCAAACTTTAGATTTTTCTATTATACAGTTTCTTTTTAAGCCATGTGGATCAACAAATAGATACAAGAGCAATGATTGTTACTTGATAGCATTAACATAATGAAGTGATAGCCCCAAAGTTGCAAATAATCTAGCTAAATGTTTAAATGTAGTGTTTTTGTGAGTCAAAAAGCTTGTAAACGTGATCGTAAACTGTTCTTTCAAGTGTCCCATTAATAAATTTGTGTGAGAGGGATTCTTTATTATGATAGGCTTTTGGAGAAAGTGAAACAGCCTTTAAGGTTTTACTCTCATGCATATAGGGGAGGGCATTCAATTTGTTCGGTTGGATTGGTTCACAGATTTGTTCAACCAATTGAAATAAATTAAATTATAGGTAAAACCAGAGTGACCAATTCATCATTAGAGCCAAATTAAACCAAGCAAAACTATAATGTAGTTTGGTTTATTTAGTTTAGTTCTCGTTCAACAAAATCGGGAAGAAAATACAAAAGATTATATATATATATATAGAAAACCCAAAGGATAATATATTAAAAGGAAATAAGGATACATATAGATTGTGTGGAGGGCCCAAGCATGACACCCTTTCCCCACGATAACCATCACATACAAATGGTTCCAAAAAAAGAGAAAATACAGAAAATTACAAGATACGTAAAGAAAAAACAAAAAATGCCAAAAAATGTAGTATCAGGTAGCCAGAGAGCGACCCAATTTTCGTTTTCCTCTACCTCTAGTTCTAGGAAAGGAGCCAGCTAATAAATTGGTAAGATGAGTGTCATTGCCAGTAGTGACCAAAGTATCATCTAATAAGTTTCCAAGCTCGATTCGGCCTCCAATCTTCTTCTTCCTCCTGGAATAGACTTGTCATTCTTCATCCGAAGATTGGCTCGTCTGATGAGTGGATTGGTCTAAAGTGTATCAGATATGTGTAGGATATTGAACATTAGAAGTAACTGCTTGTTGTACCAGCTGATCTTTGATTGAATCTAAGAAGCACTCTCGTGTGTTTTGGAATGTAAATGAGTCTTCTTCAATAACAGTGAGTGGTATAAGCACTTTTGGATCTGTACCTGTAGTATGATGTTCTTCATTAGGAACTGCAATGTTGGGTAAAGGATCGATTTGCACATTCTCAACAGGGATGGTAGGTGGTTGATCTTTAGTGATATCCAAAACCTGTCCTGTGGTAGTTTTCTCTCTAGATGGAACATATATGTCCAGAGTAGTGGGATTAGATATATCCTTATTTACTTGATCTTTAGATTTCAAATTAGGATGAAACTTATGACATTTATCAAAATTATGCACAAACATCTTACAATGAGAACAGTAAGACGGTCTATGCTCCATGACGATTTGTTGCCAATATCCATTATGAGTTGTGTCCAACCATACTTTAGTAACATCATGTAAATTAATATGTCTTTCTACAAGTATTTTGGCCACAGAAGGTCTGATTATGTTGAAAGTCGGTAGATCTAGCTTCATAGGGTCCTCAAATATGTCCTCAATAGAGTAAAGAACCTGATAATGAAAAAAAGTGCAGCTTGAGACATGGTAGATTGACCATACCGGTACAGTAGGAGGTTCATGATTAGAGTCAAAATCAGGAGACCACTTGAGTAGCTTCATTGATTTACCAGCAATGCTGAGATATTTTTTGGAGAAAATCCGAGTGTAGTCTTCAGTCACGGTTAATTGAACTCTCATCCATGAGCCTCACTTTCCACATTCCTGTTAATTTAAGTTTATCAAAACTTTTCCTGATAATTTTCATAGGTGGGCTTTCCCACTGAAATTTTTCAATAAAAGCAAACTTGAATTTGTCAGCTAGGGTTGAAATTTTTGACTCAGAGAAAAAAAAGTATTGTTTTCCCACTTTTTCTGCTTGCATTCTTAATAAAGGGGCAACCACCTGTACCATCACTATTCTCCTTATAATATTCCTTATAACTTTAGGGGAAGACAACCGTCGTCTTCACCCGAGGATTACCCACCACGTGGGCAAAGGAGGCTTTGTCAGGTTCAACCGAAGAAGAAGGATGCTCCATCACAGCTTAGAAGCCCGCCAAGTCTGTCAGAGGGCAGGAATGACGAGTGAAGATGGTCAGGAACTGAAGAGACCAAACACTCGGTGCAGTCGAGAAGGAAGACGAAGGAGGCAACGAGCACGCAACCCCTTTCCGTCTTCCATGAGATGTAATCGAACAGAGACGATGAGATGCGAACTCTGTCAGCTTCGAACAGAGACGACGAGACGCGAACCGCAGCAGCGCGAGCCGACAACGACGGAGAGGACGGAGAGACGACGCCGGAGAAATGAGCTTGCGATAAGGGTTGGTAGGGTTCCCTAGCAGAGCCGAGCGAGGGAGACGACATCTTTTTCTATATATATATATAATATGATAAAGGTATTTTAGTTTTCATTTTAACTAAAGGTTTTTTTCTAAGACCAAATTAGAAAAAAGTCTAAACAACTAATAGGTACCATTTGGGGCAGCTTATTTACCTGTATCGTGTTTTCAAAATGCCGACAGATTTTTTGGTAATTGCGTTTGGTGGGCAGATTCGGAAATGCGCGGGCGAGATGGGAGTTATTTTTGAAGAATCGCGGCTGTGGGATCGAACCCGCGACCCGCGTTCCTTTACAGATTAGTACCCCGCTTCCCTTTTGATCTCGATCCTTCATCTCTCTTCTTGCTTTGGCTCTACAATCTATTTCCCTCACCCACACCTCTCTCGCCCTTAGCATTGCCCTTCTCCCCTCCCTTCTCACTTAGTGCTCTGGTTACGTTTCTCTGTAAGTTCCTGCGATTTTTAGCTGTGTAATCATGTGGTTGTCGATGGAATAGTGGCTTTCCTCTTGCAATTTTTGGCTCTCTGTGTTGAAATTTTTTGCGAGATTTTACATATTAGTGCCCGAGATTTTTTCTCACGAGACATTTTGGCTTTCCTCATGAAGTTCATTGTGTCTGGTTGAGATTTGTGATTTGTCTTTTGTGGTATTCTGGATGAATTTCGAGTTGTTGATTTGATAAGCTAAGGGAACTTTATATGATACTTTAGTTTGGGTTTAGTAAGCTTCCATTATCTATATGAATCGGAATCTATATGTTTCATTTTTGAATTATCGGGCTTCTTAAGTAGCAAATGAGGAGATATTGTAGTTGGTGGCCTTTGTAAAGGTTTCTGATATATTGATGTATCACCACTATATGCTAAATGGTATCTAGAATTGACACTTTGAATTTTAATGATGCTTATGACAGAGAATTACAGTTAGTTGCATTAGAGAAAGATCTGAATGATGTTTCAGTCTTGTTTTCCATCTTGTATGAACCCCTTGGTACCTGTATTGGTGGTGATAATTGTGTAAACTTATTGCTTTTTCGTCTCAAGAACATGTGGGTGTTGTGGTTATGTGTGTTGTGACTGTGGAGTAGATGAATGTAATTGATGGGGACATTTTGGATATACCTTATCTGTTATGATGCACCGATTCTTTTTACTCACTGTTATGATGAGATTTTTTACTTCTCAAGTATCAAATATATTGTTATGACAGTTCTGTTGTAAACAACATTACTGCATAGAGACATAATAATCATTTACCCACAATCAGCTGCAAATCAGTTGTTTTCCAACATCACAAACCAAACAGTCAACCAACTTATCCAGACCAGCTGCTGATCAACAACTTATCTGGATCAGCTATTTATCAGCAGATTGTTAATAAGCTGCAGCTGTCCTAAACAAACTCTTACTTTAAAATAAATAAACTGGATCTTTTAGTAAATGATTAAAATCAGCAAAATATACTTATTCTGGTTTTCTTTTTATGCCAATTCATGTATACTCTCTCATGCATGGATTAAAAAAGACCTTTAGCTTTTTTGGCTAAGGTATATTTAATAGGCTTTATGTCTACAGATGTTTGACATGGGCACCTTAGTATACAAATTTTATTTTATTTTATTAAATTATAATACACGCATAATATACTCATTAAATAGTTAATATAGCTTATAATATACTTATATAGTTATATATCTTTCCTTTTTTAGGGTTGAGCGACAAACAACTGCAAGGGGAGATTAGTGAGAGCGAGTGCTAAGGGTAGGAGTTGGTGAGCGCGAGTGAGGAGATTGAGATAGCGTGCATTCCTATACTAGTGGTTTAAGTTTTTTTTTTTATATATAATTTTCTTAAGAAGAAGAAGGCATTATTTTGTAGAATTTTTTTTATATGTTTATTTTTCATTTATTTATTTCCTATTTTTAAATTTATTTTTACTATTTTTTTCAATTAACTTCTTTTAGGGTTTAGATTTTATTTACTTCTAAGTTACAACTGCATGAAGCCCAACAATCTTGCCTTGAAGTTCCTCCACTCCTATTGGTGAAGCTCAAGTGGCCATGATATACTTTCTTTGTTTCTTCTAGTTTTTCATGATATTTGTTTTATATTGTTTCTTCAAGTCGTGTCTCTTTACGCTCTACGCTATGTCCGATGAGTTTGTTGTTATTTTGTTTGTGTTAATTTATTTGCTTCAGATTTTCTTCTTGCATATATAAGTTGACTTGGTTTGGTTAGACATGAAATAATAAAATTTTGGTTTCTTATTTAAAATGTTTTTTTTACATTGTTCTTGTCTATTTGTTCTCTCCTTTAAATGCTTCCGCAGTATTGTGTAGGATATGATTAAGTAATTTCTTGATTTTTTTTTGTAAGGTTAAATATTACGATTTGATTATTTAAAATTATATCTTTATGTTTCTTTAGCTTCCCTCATTAAAAATAAAGCTATGAAGTTGCTATTTATGTAGCTATTTTCTTTGTTTTCTTATTATTATTTTTCCGATTGTTTTGATTTTTGAACTATACACTAATCTCTTACTCATTTTTGCATCTTTAAATATTATGGTTATGTGCAACTTATAATTTTTGAATTTGCTATCTAATTTCAAGTAGTTTGTGCAATTATTACGCCTTTTTTTATTTTTAAGTTGTATAAATTGCAATGTCATGTCTAACATGTGTTCTTGTTCTGTAATTTAAATGATGGATATGTTGTTTTATGCTTTATATCCACATGTGGCATATGTATTAAGGCATACTAGATTTTCTTATCCTTGTATCTTCAATCCTTTGCAATTTAATGATATTAAAGCATATCTTGAACTACTATGGATGGATTCTTTCATCTCATTTTTGAAAGTCGATATCCTTTCTTTAGATGCTGGAGCAACTAATCACATTAACTTGTTTTTTACTTAAGGCTAATTAACGGTGAACTACATAAGAGGGCATTTGACAACCTATATCTCAAGTGATTGCTAACACTAAAACAAAAACCTTTGGATTTTGTTAAAGAAAAAGGTATGGAAAGTGTTTATTGCATCCCGACTTATTTACCTTATTTTGAAATAGGGCCACTTCAAAACTCATGGACTTCTATAGCAGTGGGTTTAGGATTTTGCACCTAGTCCGTTAAGGAAATTTTGAAGAATAATTCTAGGCTTTGAAATTTGCCAAAATAAAGTGATAAGTGTCAATTACATTCCAAAATTTATTCACGAACCTAGAGTTTGGCTTTTTCTACTAATGGATCCAAGATTACCAGGAAATGAGAAAAAAATTTGGTTAAAAAAATTTTAGGTGAGTATATTTTCATTGTATTATATTGTGTCACATAAGATTTAAATATTTACACACTTCAATTGGGACATCATCAAGTCCTACTAATTTTTCGCTCTTGAATTTCAATTTTTCACTCTTGGTTTTCTTTAAAGTCTCCTCAACTTTCTTTTTACTAATGTGCCAGTGTAAATAAAAATATTATTATTATTAACAATATTAAGATTAGTACGATGAATAATATTTTTAAAAATTTCATTGAAAAGTTTATTAAAATTTCTCACCCACTTATGTTGAATATCTTTCTCTAAAAAAAGACTTTTTGACACTTTACTGAATTAAATCTTCACTTTTCTTTTCTCTTTGTTTGGCAGTTTATATATATATTTTTCACTCTCTTTAGTATTTAATCTATTTTAAAGATCACTGAAAGCATAATTCTTGGCGTCACAAATTGTTCTCTAAGATTTTACATTTAAACTAATATTTATAACAAAATTTCTTATATTATATCTTTTTATTGTACATCATCATTCCACTACCAACTATTTTTATTTATAAAACATTTCCTTTTGATTCCCCAAGTACATTTTTTGACACTTATTTAATAATATTTGTTAGTTTATCCCACATATTATTAGTTTCTTCATAAAAATAAAAAATTTTGAAATATTAAAGTTTACTCATAAAAATAATTTTATTTGTCTTTTAGGTGCAACCAACTAATTCTATGATAATGTTTCATTGCATTTCTTTTATCTTCCAACTCCTTATATTAAGATCCACAACTAATAATCGATATTAAATACTTAGAGATTTTTACTTGGAATGGCCTTACAATCTTTACATTTATTGACAATATATTTTTCTCATAAGAAAATAGTAAACTTGTGCTTTATTATATCTATTCTTATAAATAATAATACGCTCATCTATTTTCTTAAATATAGTATTAGCAATAATAAAATTATAAGCTTGAGCAAAATCTAATACAATTCTACATTTTACATTAATCACTTTAAAATTGTAGTCATCATGAATATTTCTAAAATTTTTTACCGCTCTACCAACATGTCTATTTAAATCTTTTGTAATAAAAATTCTTTCTTCTAGAGATATTAATCCTTTTAGGTCATTTCAAAATTTTTCCTTTGAAATTATATCTAAACCTACTTGAGGAGCACAAACGCTTGTAACATTAAAAATCTTAGTATCAATAATAATTTTTAGGGTTATAGTTCTATCTCTAATTATGTTAATTTTTACAATATTTTATTTTAAACTCGTCATTCTATTTCTAATTCTATTAATTTTTACAATTTTATTTTTCAAACTCTTATCTATAATTATTTCTATATCATTTCTAGCGTGACTTTTACTTGAATATAAAGTTATCAAACTCGTTAGATTTTTCGTCAATCCATTTAATTTCTTGAATGCATAAAGTTTTTATCTTCATATGAACCAGAATATCTACTAATTCCATTAATTTACTTGTGATACCTATATTCCTAGATTCAATTCTTATATTAATTTTATGGACTAACTTCTTTGCTTGTATCCGTCCATAATCTTGGAACCCTTGTTTTTTGACACCACTCGGGCTTCGTTGTTGGAGCTCTTGCACACTTTTCACTGTATTCAAGTTATACAACGCGTCGCTTCTATGAGACGTCCTAGCATTTATACAATGATTTAAAGGATTCATGTCATGATTTTCAACAAAAAATTTATGTTGGTTGTTCACTACCTAATGCAACCCTCTACTTTTCACATCTGGGGCTTGGGACTCAAGAACGGCGGTGTTAAAAATAAATGGATGTTAATTTCTAATTATTTGAATTCGGTAAAACTATAGTTCTTCATCAACTTAAATGTTAGTAACCTTTGACAGTGCCTTTTTTATTTTCATTTCTCATTTACATTTTTAATTACTGAATTCCTTTCAGAGATTCCGGTCAATGAATATATCAATTATTTTGCTCCAGATTATTCTTTGAAGCTTCAGAGCAGGAATATGGTAGGCCGTTTTTTTCCTTTTTAAGTTATCAGTCAGTCCTTACAGTTGGTTAAATTTTACAAATGTTCCAAATTTGTGCATTAATATTAGCTTGGGTCAATCTTATTTGAATTCCTTTTGTTTGCTTAATTGGGAGAAGAGTGGAGTGCCAAAGTTGTCCCCTAACTATCTACAAGGTTAGTCCCCGGGTCTATAAAAGTGCACTATATTAGTCCCCAAACTCTTTTAATGTGTTAAACTAGTCCCCTTCCATTAAAAGAGTGCTAAATTGATACTTTATGGACTCTCGGACTAAAATGACCCTCTTCAAAGTGCCAATTCACCATTTTGACCATTTTCTCACTGGGAAAACCTCAATAAGAAACCATATCTTACACAGGATCTTCTCTCTTGAATTCCAAAGTGCCTGTAGCTTCGACATGGTGCCAATCTTTAATTCTTTTGTTATGCTTGAGCAGGAGAACCTGAATAGCAAAACGTATCTTAGCTCCATCAAGGTGCAGGTTCTGGAAAATCTCCGCTACATACAATCTGCTCCAGGTGTTCAAATGCAAGAGGTATATATTATGCCACATAATTCTTATACATCAACATGTCTACCACCTAAACTTTCATATTTACACACACGACACTCGAATCTTTAATATCACATAAAAAACCACTAATATTAATTTTTTGTGGCATTTACATAGCACACAATTCTTATGTATTTATATAACTCACACCTAAACTTTCATATTTACATACAGCACTCAAATCTTTATTTTCACTTCAAAAATAACACTATTACCACTTTTTTATAAGCGAACATTCCTTTTTTTATGCATAGGTTTAAAACAGCAAAGTGTTATCTAAATAGGGAAGTATAGATGTTAAGTGTGAGGTAATGTAAATACAAAAGATTTGTGTGCTACGTATGTAAATTTCCTTAAATTTTTTAAAGTAAAATGCACTGTTTTTATGCACTTGTTTGCTGTGATGCGACGCTGAAGTGTTAGATATTTAAATATGAAAATTTAGATGTTAGGTTGTGTGACTACAAAGAAATGTTCTATCTATCTATTTATGTATGTATATATATATATATATATCTCGAAGGAATGGCCACAAGCAATTATATGAGCCTCCAATCACCCCTAATTTGTCTAACAATTTGAGTACCACATCCTTAAGGCCAACTGTGTCAGGGGATTCGAACCCCAGATCTGAGGGGTCTTATACTGTGGATACCAACCAACAGGTCGAGGACGTAGCATTATATATATATATATATATATATAATTTTATCAATTTTGAAGCATTGGACAATAAGGTTACCTCATGCTTGATGATGTTTTTTTGTGCTCTAGAAAGCCATTATTGAATCAAAGCTCTTAGCTTCTACCACCTTTCGCAGGTTCCTCCAGACTTCTATATCCCTGATTTTGACGATGATGAGCAGAACCCAGATGAACGTGTAAGCCGTAAGTGAAATGTTTTCGCAGCAGAATATTTATTTATTTATTTCATTTTAAATAAATAAATAATAATGAATAATAAATAAAAAAGGATTTCTTTGATTTTTTATGCATATTTTTTAATGTGGTTTTAAATGTTTTCAGAGCACGCTCAGGACAAGCAAATTCAGCGGGATGATGAGTATTACGCGGGTGATAATGACAACGATCAAGAGCGCTGAGCATCTAGTGATTTTTTTTTTTTTTTTCATTTTTCAAAATTGCTTAATTTTTGGGATGGTTGAAATATGATGAATGAAGGTTTTGAGGCCAAATGCATCCAATCAACAATGGATTATATTGATGTTATCCATTGCATATTCTACTGCTAAACTGAAAAGAACATAGGGTCGTTTACCTACATATTACCTCATTCATAATGCTTAAATTTCACTTTTTACATTCATACCACCAAAATCTTCCATATCACTAGGGATGTCAGAAATTGACTCGAGGACATAAAACTGACTTGAAAATTCGGGTTTGGGTTTTATCTGAATAACTTTGGAGTTGTGCTCAGGTTATGATTTACAACGAGTTTAATTTGTAGGTCAGATTTGGGTTGATCTGTCAACTTTTAATTTACTTGAATTTGATTCAAAATTTTGAAATTGATCTGATTTTGACCCAAATAATTATTGATCTTACGTTAAACCAATTAAACGTGTTGGATTCGGGTTAGATGTGTCTTGGTTGGGTCGGGTTCGAGTTAAGATATTCAATCCGTATAATATTTTGGTCGTACTCAGGTTGAACTTATTCGGTCATGCCATTTTCAGAGTTAGACATGAACATCACTATTAGACCTTAATTGGCGCCCATACATACCACATTAAAAATATCATCATTTTAAATTTTAAAAAGTGATGCATCTTTTGATAACCCCATTTGGTGGGATAAAGTTTTGTTCTTGTTGTTGTAGAAATAGAAGTTGAAGTTTAGGAGTTAGATATGTAAATATAAAAACATTGAGTGGTGTGTAAATTTTTCAAAAAAAAAAAAAATTATTTCAAATGAATTTGGCACTATTTGTTGTTTCTAGATTGTATCCATTGAAGACTATTCAAAGTTTTGTTTAGTCATTCCTATGGTTACCAAATTTGAAAGCACTAATCAATGCTTCTCAATAATAAAAATGATGAAAACACATTCATAAGACCATTGCAATGCTAACATTATATGAATGGTAAATTCAATTAACATAATCCTCAAAAACGTCTTATCCGACAATGGAATTCTTCAGCAGTTCTACTCATACACTCCAGAAAAAAAAAATGGAGTCACGGAAAGGAAGCATCGCCACCTAACAGAAACTATTCACACGCTCCTCTCAAATGTGTCTCTTCCTCATAATTTATGGGTCGATATACTTCTTTCAACGAAATATCTCGTCAATATCATGCCATCCAAAAATACCCAGCAAACTTCTCTTTATGAGAGGTTCTATACCATTTGCAAACCCAACCATCATCACTTGTATGTCTTTAGATGTCATTGTTTTCGCAACTAAATATCTCGTCAATATCATGTCATCCAAAAATACCCAGCAAACTTCTCTTTATGAGGTTCTATACCATTTGCAAACCCAACTATCATCACTTGTATGTCTTTAGATGTCATTGTTTTCCTTAATTGAAATCACGAGAATTATACAAATTTGCACCTTGTTCTACTCCATGCATTCTTTTGGGATATTCAACGGCGCTTAAAGAATACAAATGCCTTAAATCGACAAATAGGCAGGGTCATTATCTCTCATCATGTTATCTTCAATTAAATGACATTTCCATATGCCTTGCAACAACCAATCAGTCCGTCTCCAAATCACTGCTCTACTACAAATCATTGTTCCATAATTTCTCACTGTTCAGGTATGCCACATGAGTCTACATCCTGCAAAATCAAGTTCCAGCTCACCACCTATCAACAATAGCTCCCCAACAATCCCCACTACTCAATCTTGATTTGCACCTTGCTACGCATCCCATGGCCACACAATCTAAAACTGGTCATCTCAAACCAATGCAGAGGCGTAGCCTCCTTCGCCAATTACAGCATCAAGTAGATCTTACACTCTACACTTAGGCTGCAAAAGGTCCCCATTGGAAACAAGCAATGAATGAATAATTCTATGCACTTCAAGCTCAAGCTACATGAGAACTAGTTCCGCCTTCATTGGATCAACTAGTCTTTGGCAGTTGCTGGACACATTGCAAAAAAATTTCATCCCAATGGTACGACAAAGAGATATAAAGCATGATTGGTAGCACAATGGTATATATATATATAAAAAAAAAAAAGAAAAAAATTTGGCATCATCTATCATGATACATTTAGCTCTATTGTGAAAATGGCTACCCTATGTACCCTTGCTTTTCAAAGAAAATGGCCCATCTTTCAATTTGACTTCTCAAGTACCTTCTTACACAAGACTCTCGGTGAGGCAATCTATTTGTAACAACCCAATCAATTCATAAATTCCGCAAATCGTGTGCTTGCTAAAAAAGGCTTTATATGACATCAAACAATCACCTAGACAGTGGTTTGCAACATCTCTGAGCTATTCAAATGAGCTTCAAATGCAACAAAGCAGGCTCCTCACTCATTTTTGCACAATCAAATTAGCACCAATATGTGTTATTTTATGTCGATGATATTTAAATTACAGGTTCTAATACAACAACCATAACGGATTTCAAAGGGAGACTATAATCTAGATTTTAAATGAAAGACGTGGCCAAGTCTCCAGGTTTATAGGAATCAAAGTGACCCGAACCACGCTATCACTATTTCTGGGACAACAACGATATCTCGAGCAACTTGTCCAAACAATAGACATGACTGGTTGCAAACCAATTTCTACTGCACGCCTCTACAAATAATGCTCGTGATTGGACAAAATCAACTGCTTGAGGACTCTGCCAAGTATAGGAAGCTTATGGAGCACTTCAATATTTAACGATAACTCAACCCGAAATTTCCTTTTCCATTAATCTCTTGTCAACACATTGAGAATCCCTTGAATTATCTTGTTTAACTTTTGAAATTGTTACTATGGTACCTTCGAGATACTTTTGACTTTACTCTAAAACATCTTCACTTCATACATATTCCAACTCAAACTAGGCCACATATACACAAAATTTTTGGTCTGCTACAGGTTTATGCTCATTTCTTGTTGCACCCTTATTGTGTGAACTATAAAGAAGCATATAGTGGCAAGGTCATTTATAGAAATGGAATATAGAGCTCTTGCAGGGGCACATATGAAATCATTTGACTACGACGTCTTCTACAAAACTTCAATCTCTCACAAGCCTAAACGACAAAAGTGCATTTGTGATAACCTTTTGACAAAGAAATCACAAATAATTTGGTGTTCCATGCAAGAACTAAGGATATCACTATCACTTTATTCAAGATCATATCTTTATTGGGACATCTCCAAATCCACTACATTAACACTTGACATCAACTTGCAGATATCTTTACAAAACCTCTCTAAACCATAGCTCAACCTACTTTGCCCCAAGTTGATGTAAGTTGATAGTTCTGTCTCGATCCATCAACTTGTCGATGGATATTACACTATCGTGTCAATTGTAGAGTGATAGAACAAACTCTCCTCTTTCTAATTGTTTGGTGGTTACATTGCATACTAGAACCTTCTCATCATGTATATATTGTGCATAGAAAGGATTGAAATGAATAGAAATTCCAGTACTACAACTGATTCTTACAGTTCGTGTCTTCAGTTATTATTGTTCTAATTTACTCTTTTTTTTTTTATTTTGGAGTTCAAAAACAACTATTCGTCATGATTATAAGAATTGTCTTTCTACAACCAAAAATATTAACATATACTCATTGAATAAAGAATTTCTCTAGTTAACTCATTAAGAAATATCTTTATTTTTTCCTTTAATAACAGTCATCTCATTCTTTTCCTCGTCCTCACATCTTGTATTGCTTCTTGTTGTGGGATGTCTGACAGAGTTAAATTTTTTTTAAAATTTTTAATAATTTCATCATGTGATAATAGATTTGAATAAAGCTTTAGCTTGGAAGACATTTTCTTAAAAAGTTAAGAGATAATTACATACACAATACTCTAAACATTGTTATTTATAATATTATCACCAATGTGATTTTTTGAAACACAAAATCAATGCATTTACACGTGCCACAATCAAATCATTCAAAACTTAATAGAAATAAAAATATAATCTACATACCACACAATTTCTTGGTATTTACATAACCTACACCAAATGTTTGATATTTATATTTATAACACTTTGGTGTTATAAACCTATAAATGAAAATATGCATTTCACTTATAAAAAAAATTAATAGTAGTGATGTTTTTATGTGATATTAAAGATTTAACTATTTTGTATATAAATATAAAAAGTTTAAATGTAAGATACCTAAATACATGAGAATTGTAAGTATAATAAATACATTTTTTTTTTTTACTTTCAAATTACATTCCCCTTTTGGTTCATATCAATCCATAACTTAAATGCAATTTGGCATACACATTGTGAAAATAAACATGATTGGATTACCTATTGCAAAACTTCACTATAAATCCTATACCACAATATAAGTTTAATCACTAAAGTAGTCCTCAAACAAGGCCTAGCACATGGCTTTAACATTTAAAGCACACAACTTCAAGGTGAGAGATTAGAAGAAATTCACCAACAATCATTCTATTAATCTTGAAACATCAACAAAAATGTATCTATGAACATATTTGATATAGAATAGATGAAAGTAATCAAAGTTTAAAATTGCTCAAAATACACTCAGAAGCTTTTTCAACTCCATTACAAATATATTTTCAGCACAATTATCAACTAAAAATCAATTTCATGTCTATTTGAGTATAGTAGCATATAATCAAGTAGAATTGGCTTGTAACCTTACACAGTAGATGTTAAAAGGTACATTATGATATAAAATATAATATAATATATACTTTTATTTAATATTAAATAAGTCTATTTTGAGTCTGCCTCCAAGTTAAACTTGAGAAGCTTAATTTGATTGAATCACCAGACCCCAATGCACAACACTCTATCCGGTTTTCAGGGCTTAATGAGGGAGAAATATTTGCGTACATAAGACGTACGCAGAGCTGCGTACGACTAGTAGGTTACAGAGAGGGTACTGGGGGGTTTCTCTGCGTTATAACCCTTGTAACCTCCCTGTAACCTACCTGTAACTAGTAAGTTTCGCGCTTTTATTTTCATATATTTGTAAGTTACATGTAGGTTACAGGTAGATTACAGGGATGTTATATGGGGTATAACGCAGATATAACCTTCAATACCCTCCCTGTAACCGAGCAGACGTACGCAGCGATGCATAAGTATGCAAATATTTCACCTAAATGAGAGCTATTCAACTTGGAGGTAAAAAGTTCATAATCTAAAAAAATAAAAAATAAAATATAAAGTCTAATAATAGTCACAAAATAAAACATTTAAAACAGCCTAGAAAAAACTCATATAGATTGAAGCGAACCTGTAAAATGGGCCCCATTTAACCATTCAAATTTTTCTGTTACACCACATATTTAAGCTCTCAACTATAGCGAAAACACCATAATTACAAAACCCACCCTTGCAGAATATCTGGCTGGCATTTCTTCACAACCATAATCTGTCGCTTACAAGGAGCAGAAACTTAGCTGCCGCACACTACTGAACATAGCCACAGAGAAATCCCACCACTGTCATGAAACCAAACAAAAGCTCCTCTTCAAAGAATAAAAAAGAGCCGTTAGAAAGTTTCAAATTCAAAATCATCTGCAGTGTATCTGAAATCTAAACATTTTCCTTCCCCATTTCTTCTTGAAACCAAGGGATCCTCTGTTTCTTTCATACTCGACGTCTCCGGCGGCTCCGAGCAGCGGATTAAGGCCCAGTTAATCCCCTCAAAGAAGGAATGCTGCTTAATTTCAGTAGCCCCTTTGACAGAACCAAGCCTGCTCTCAGGTTCTTTTACCAGAAGAGCTCTGATTAAATCTTTTGCATGAAAGCTAACAGAGGGAGAATCAGGGAACTTTAAACTCTGGATGACTATATTGTTCAAGGTTTGTTTATTGTTAGAACCCTTAAAGGGAGTCCTACTGAACAGTAACTCATATAGAAAGATTCCAAAGGTCCACCAATCCACAGAACTTCCATGTCCATGTCCCTGTATTATCTCTGGTGCCAAGTACTCGTGGGTGCCAACGAAAGAGTTCGAGTGCGCATCGGTGGGCTCAAATACGAGCTGTGGAAGTGGGAAAACTTGTCCAGCCAAATCTGATTTGAGCTTCCTGTTCCATGGCATGGAGGAGGAAGCTAAAGGAGTCCCGAAGCATGAAATTGGAGTCCAAGATGGATGTAGGCATAGTGGATCCAAGCAGTTGGTTTCAGAACAAGGTTCGGATCGCCTCTTGGAAGAATCTGGTGAGGTTACAGATGAGGATTTGAGGAGAGTTGGATTGACTGTGCACCTAAGAGAGAGGTCAAAATCAGAGAGCATAATGTGGCCATTGTCCCGAATGAGAACGTTTTCTGGTTTGAGATCTCGGTAGATAACACCCTGTAAATGTAGGTACTCCAGAGCAAGAAGAACCTCAGCAACATAAAACCTGTGATAAGGTTACAATGTTAAGGGCATTTTTTTAAAATAAAATTACATGAATTTTCAATTGTGATCCAATATTCTGTTATTATTGCAGATATAAGATGCTTCATGGTTCATTTTAGAACTAAAGATAAATCAAACTTGCTGCAATGCATCAGATCTAGGATTAGGAATTTGTACTGCACCTGAGCATGATAAATTCATATATTTAAACAGTTCATTTGTTTACTTGATGCAATGTGTTACATTGGCGCGTAGCCTAAGGGAAAATTTATTTTTTGTACGCCTAAGTGCAATTTAGACTATTATTATAATTATTGTTGGGTAATAGGCTTGTTATGTCTAGGGTTAGTTTTATGCATGAGATTTGATTGAGCTTAGGTTTAGAGTGTGGGAGAGATTTCCTACCTCTCAGATTGTAGGAATTGGGAGAGATCGCCTACCTCTGAAATTGTAGATGCTTGTATTTTGTATTTTTGTTGAGTTGTTTGATTTATTGAAGAAAATTTGTACATGTTTTAATTTTTGTAGAAAAATGCATCAATTTTGAATTTGGATCGTATCAAATTGGTATCAAAGCAAGATTATGGGAAGAAACCATTGGATCCCTGAGTGTTGGACCTTCAGCTACAGAAATGTATCGCTGCACCTTTATCTAGTTGAAAAGAAACGCACCGGATCGCGACGTAATGTGTACCCAAAGACAGGATCAGCACAGTCGCAAGATCGTGGCACCTCCTCGGCAAGACAATCGTGATTTGGAGCTAGCAGCATCAGGATCAAACATACGGTTCAAATATTTTAGCAAGTCCATGTGACCATTCCTGTGATACAAGTGTGATCGTTGGAAGCAAATGGACGGATTTGCGGCCATAATGACCGAACAACGCCAATACAGTCGCGATTCGAGGGCTACGCCCAATCCGAGGGATCGCAGCGAACAGAGACCTGAAACTTTCATCTTACAGGTCGAGGGGATAGCGGCGAACAGAGACCTAAAGCTCCCATATTTTGGGATCCTGCCGATCTGTGTGCGTATAGTTGCAGTAGGTGCTACTGGGAAATGACAGCGAGATTTATGTGACCCGGAAACACTGATTTGTGGTACAGTTGTCATAAGGCTAGCTGAGAAGAGACGACGGGATTTTAGTGTATAAAATTATCTTTGAGATCGAAAAATTTTATGGAAAAGATGGCATTAAAAAAAGTAGATGATCTGGAAAAAAAATTGGAGGAAGGGATGAGTTAAATCAAATCTGGGATGAAAGAAAGGTTCGCCGCCATAGAGAAAAGGTTCTTTTATATGGAGAACCGACTGGAGGACCGATTGGAGAGCAAGGGGGAAATTCAAGAAATGCTAAAAAGACTCATTGAGATACAATTCAAAAGACCCCACCGATAACTCAATTTGCAAACCTTAAAGTTGACTGGAGATTCCGTGGCAAGATTGAAAGGAAAAGAGAAGGAATGTGAGGAACATGAGGAGGAAAATATTTATCATCACAAACCCCCTCTCAAGGCTTCGATTAGGGGTGGATTAGAGACTTTTGATGGAGGCGGTTGGGCCGAAATATGGAGAAGAGATTATGCAAGAGATATGGAGGAGCGCGAAGAATAAATGAGAGAAGTATGGATGGGATATGGCTAAGATCGAAGAATGGAGTCTTACCTTTGATACATGAAGGAAACAACGAAGAAAGAGAAAGAGGAAGTTGGATGGAGAAGTTAAGAGTTAGATAGTTGAAGATGTCAATCTTTGAGTGGGAAGACGCAAATAGGTCAGTGAATCGGGCAGAGTGAAAATTTGCGTTGAATGGACTAGATAGGGAGGAGAAACTCATGGCATCAGGGTTGTGTTTGGAAAGGAAAGTTCTAGCTTGGTTCAGTGAAGGGAGGCTAGAAACCCAATCCATTCGTGGGAGAAATTCAAGAATTGTTTGTTGAAACATTTTCGAGCAATTCGGAAAGGAGACCTACACGAGCAATTCTATGTTTTGACTCAACAAAAAATTATCATGTAATACAATGAGAGATTTGAACTATTATCAGGACGGCTGAGGGAGATTTTTGAAGCAGGACTGGAGGAAAATTTTATGAAGGGCCAAAAGCTAAACATATGAGCATCAATTCAATTACTGAACCGTGGGGATTGACAGAGACGATGAAGCTAGCTCAGACGGTAGAGGAAAATAATCAAATGAAGGTCAGTGGGAGCAACACAGATGGAACGTCCTATCGAAGTGCTAAAACCACGACAATACCAAAAGTTTGATTTTAACCCCCAATGGCTAAATAACTTGGGTGTCTCACTAGTGATTTGATGATAATAAACATTGGGTTTTCTTATCCAACTGCGACTAAGTGTTTTTTTTTTCAAAGATAATCAAATGGTCGCAACCATGGTGATACTGAGTGATTTTCCTACACAAGTCTAGAGCACTCCTTGGTCGGAGGAGAGACAACATGTTTAATTCAAGAAAATTCAAATGCAAAGGTTTGAAACATAGTTGTCTTGGTCTATTTAGGTATTTAGGATACTATGCAAAGGTTTGAAACATAGTTGTCTTGGTCTATTTAAGTATTTAGGATACTTTCCCAATTAAATTGATTAAGATAAATTTACGAAGGAAATGTTTAGCACCAATTTTTATTTATATTTTCTATTTTTGCTTTTAAAAATATTTCAACTTGCATTTTTTTTTCATTTTTTTCAAAACATGAACTCCCAAGCACTTGATCTCGTGCACCATGTTGACCCGTCCCACCTCTGCTGCCCCTACCCTACTCCGGTACAACACCCATACCCTGATGTTCATTGTCGTGCTAACCGCCCCATGCAAGTGTCAAGCCACACTCGATTATAAAGAGTTGCCCCACACCCCCAACCACACATAGGCTCGCCCCCATGTGCCTCTAGCCAACCTTGATCACAAACTCCTCTCTTAGCTTCATTCTTTTAAAGTAAAAAAAAATAAAATAGCCAAATTTTAAATGCCAACTATATTTTTATTTCACATCAAAATATAAAAAGAACTAAAAGTAAAACAAAACAGAGGCAAAAATAAAAAACAAAAACAAAAGTGATTCCAAACAGTCTAAGAATTCAAGAAGGATGAACAAAAAAGAAAAAATATATAGATATTTTTTTTACTAGGATTCAAAATCTATGTTATTTGCTACAAAAGTTATTTTTTATATTTCTATAACTTTTGGGAATCTAATTGACTTGATTTGTTGGTTATTTAATTTATACCTTATTTATTAGCGATGAAAAATTGCATTATTATTTTATTTTCAATGAGCATATGCATAAATAGTTCATACTCATAATATTGATCCCTTAGCATTTTAGCAAGTTTATTTAATTTTTTTTTTCTTTTATATTCATCAACTAATTATGCAATTCATTATTATCCACTTAAGAAAATAACTTTTTTTATAATTATTCCTTAATTATATGGTATTTATCTCAGCATGTTGCAATTATTTCATTTAAATTTCTTAATTGGATTAATTAGACCTTAATTATTGATTATTTATGTAATTATGGAATTCGATCTAATTTTAACTCTATTGGATTCAGTTAGTTGTTTCTATAAAACTTCATATACAATATCAGATATAATTTGGTTTCAATTAGTCGTCTTAGAGTTAACCTTAGGTAGGCGATGAAGCTATAAACTCTATCCTTTTTTGTCCACCTGTAATCTTCTGTGGAAGAGCTCCACCTAATTTCTGATCTTTAACACTCTTAAGGCTAAGAGAGAAACAATATCTTGCTATATGATCAGGTTGACAACACCAGTAACATGTGTTGGAGCACATCAAACATTCACCCTTATGTAGTCTTCCGCATTTGACACAAGTAACTACATTACTTTGAGTCGTATCTCTACTAAATCCAACCAAATTGTACTTGGAACTTTTCCCCATTTGATCCTTCTAATTGATCAACATGTTCTTCAAAAATAATCTTCCTCTTGTGCGCCTCCTTATGTTTTTGAGTAAATTGATAATCGATTTCTACTCTTCTAGCTCGTTCCACTAATATCAAGTATTCATTGATCCCGAAAGACACGAACGACTGTCTGATTGGGTCCTTTAATCTCGAAAGAAATCTGTAGCGCTTTTCTTCTGCAGTAGCGATCAACTATGGTGCATATCTTGACAATGCAGTGCATTTTGCTTCGTACTACATGATTGTCTTCTCTCCTCGCACCAACTTGATGAACCTGTCATGCACTGTCTTCAAACGTAGGGGATAAACCATTCTCTGAATAGCTCCACAAACTCCTCCCAACTGACCATCATATTGGGTATGTCCCCTAGCTTGTACTGACGCTGCTCATGCCACCATATTTCGGCTTTTTCATCAGCACAAACATAATTAATGACACTCACTTTATTCGGACAGCACATACTATCTAATATCTTTTCAATTCGCATTACTCAATTCTCTGCTTCAATTAAATCTTTAGTTCTTTTAAACAATGGTGGATGTAAATTTTGAAATATCTTCAAGTACTTATCTTCATCGACTATATCACTTATGATAAGCTGCAATCAGGGCTCCTGAATCAGCTGAGTCATCTTTGTCATCATCGGAGTTGGAGCATTAGTATTCATATTTATAATATGTTGTACTTCATTGTTTTCTATCATATTCCCTCCTATAATTTTGGGTGTATCAATATGTCTGAATGGATATAATTATTAATTTGAGTTAACTTAAATTTTAAATTTGTATTATTAGTAAAATTTTCTTATAATTACCCTATTGGCGTACATTAATTATTCCTGGACCTGCTCTAATACCATTTTTGTCACAACCTGACCCAAAATTTGGAATTAATCAAAACGGGTACAGATAGTTTTCTATATTCATTTTCCATAATTAAGATTTAACAAAATGAAAGTCTCTAAAGAAATTAAATTAAAGCATTACAATAAAATTTATCCCATTACAAGTCCGTGCATTCTCAAATATTACTCTTCTATCATTCA